GTTCCTTTTTCTCCCCATTTTGGCTTCCTCTTTGTTTGTGTATAATGTATTAGGTAGATCTGCTATGACCTCCAGTCTTGGCAGGGTAGATTTATGTAGTACTTGGTCTTATGTAATTGCCTGTGACTGGTCCTGGGCCACATATTCGGAGCTGCCCAGTGATCCACAGTCTGTGGCTGCCTCTGCCAGGCCGGGGGGTGTGTGGGAAGGAGTAAGCTGAGAATCAGGGCAGGCTTTTACCAGTCCCAGTCCCAGGGGATGGTCAGCAAGAATCCCAAGGCACCCCAAGAGACCTGCCTCCTTCTGCCTGCTGCCAGTTAGGCTCAGTCACTGCAAGAGTCTCTGGCAGTACTCAAGTTGCATGAGGGAGGTTCTCAGTGAGTCACCAGGTAGGGGCAAGTGGTACTCACCAGACTGATACGGGTTCAAACTCATTGCCAGTGCTGGGTCTGAGGCCACTCAGCAAATGTCCTGGGGTACACCAAGGCTAGCTGCTGCCTGTTGGGTGCTTGCATGCTGTTGTGGTGGTGGGGTGGGGTCTCAGGGAGTTGTCAGGGTGAGGCCTGCAGAATTTATCCAGCCCAAACAGACTAAGATTTGGCTGTGTGAAGGGAGGGCTCTGCACTGCGTTGGCATGTGAGAGAAAAATGGCATCTGTCCTACAGCTACACAACTCAGTCTGTCTCAGATTCTGCTGGGAGGCCCAGCTGAGCAGGGTGGGCCCCCCGGGAGTCAGGAGAGTAGGGCTAGTGGATCTCCGGTGGTGGTAGGGAGGTGCTGGTCAGGCTTGGGAAAAGATGGACTGTGTGGCCCCCACCCCAGAGCCACACAACTCAGTCTGTGCTGGATTCTTCCCAGAGCTCAGAGGGCGAGGCCACCAGGAGTCGGGAGGTTGGGGCTGCCAGCAGCTCAGAGCGTGGGCTGGTGGGTCTCCCATGAGTGGGAAGCACCAGTCAGGTTCACCTGTGGAGGGAATAGCTTCCACCCCAAAGCCACATAACTCAGTCACTGATACCTCCTTAGTCCGGCCAGACCTTTATACCACAGCCCAGGCAGCTGACTCCTCAGCAGGGCGCAATCTTTGCAGGGTGGGGTGAAAGGGAACCCAGAGGGTGGGACTATTGCTTTTCACCAGGCTGATATGTCCTCTGCAGGGGAGTGCTCTACCCAAGAGAGATGGCCTCTGCCATGTGGGAGACTGACTCAGCACTGGGATCCTGGGGGCTCTCCCTTCAGTTTTCTCCCCAGAGCCACAGACCCATTTCTCCTCTTGCAACTCTAGTCTGCTCTGCCCTCCCTCCCCTGGAGCCCAGGGTGAGTGGGCGTGAAAAAGACTTTGTGTGTTGGTTCTTTAGGAGGGCACCTGTGTCTCTAGCAGACTCATCTCTCTCCCTGGCAGACAGGGTCCCCACCGATTTTCATACCTTCATCGCCAGGTGTTATGTGGGCACCTCTTTCTGGCTCTTGTGCTCTGGGCTGGGGAGCCCAGCTTAGGGTTGAGACCCCATGCTTCTCAGGTGAAACTTCGCAGCTGAGATATCCCTTTGGAATGTCAGCTGACACCCGTGGGCAGAGGGCTAGCCCTCTCGCATGTCACCCTTCCTACCAGTCTTGATGTGGCTTCTTTTCAAGGCTGCTTCTTCCCCTAGAGGCCAGTCTCCACACTTTGCCTGTGCTGTTCTCAGACTGTTGCTTGCACAGGCTTTGAAACCGGAAGGACCTGCATTCAAGCCTCTGCTCCACCACTTAGCAGCCATGTGTCCTCTAACAGGGGCTTCTCATCGGTGTGCCTTAGTGTCCTCACCTGTCAGACGGAGCCATAATAGGGCGCACCTCACAGGATTGTTGTAGCTCTACCTGGTCCCCAATGGATCAGACATCTTTGGTTCTCACATCTCCCTGCCTAGGACGCCAGCACCATCCAAGACAGAGAGGCACTTAAAAAGCATTTGATGCATATGGAACAATCAGCATCGGCAAGTGACTTGTTGGATGGAAGTCTAAGACCTTCCAAAGCCCTGCACAGCTGTTGACCTCTACCTCTATCTGCCTCTCTCTGCCACAGTGGAAGGCGATGGCCTCGCATAGCCCACAGCCTCTACCCTGCCCCATTCTCAACTTCCCATACTCACCAAGATCTTTCTTCGCTCCCAGCCCTGATTCAGCCTGTTCTCACTGCCTGGAACAACCTTCCACATCACCTTCATTGGCTAACCTCTCTTCTCTTCAGATAGCCTTTTAAATGTTACTTCTGTGGGGAAGCTTTCTTTGATGCTACCCTTAGAATTTAATCATTTCATGTCTCTCTGCCTGGACAGATTGGGAATTCCATGGTAGGAGGAACCAGTTCTGTGCAACTTACTGCTGAATTCCCCCTTCTCTGAGAAGCCCTCTTAGACTCCTCCCCTGTTCCAGCCTTGCCTACACAGAGTCATCCCTGTCTGAGGATAAATCTGTCTCCCCCAGTGGACTGTGAGCCCAGGAGGGGAGGGCGTCTCAGTCACTGTTGTGACCCCAACACTGCCCAGCATGGGCCAGGTAGAGGGCAGGTGCCGGTGGTTTGTTGAATTAATGGATAGCAATGTGGTCGCCCTAGAGCCCTCCCACTCCATAGCACTGCTCCAAGGGGATGAGCACCCCCTCTTCACACCCCCTCATCCGCCCGCTGTGGAGCCGGGAGCCCACAGGCATGCCGGGACACAGGCAAGGGTTAGGGAGTGGGCTGACCAGCAGGTGGCCTGCCTGGCCGGACTAGAAGCCCAATGCACGGTGATTGGAAGGATCACTTGGCTAAGCCTGGGTGAACACCTGGCTAAACTTGGGAGATGGGGGGTGTGGGTGAGACCCCAAGGCCGTCCTCAAACAGCAACCAGTGGCACTAACCTCTGGATAGCTCCCTCCATCACTTTTCCTTCTCTTCCTCTAGTCACAGAATCCCACATTCTAGCCAGGCAGATGGCGACCCAGGATAAGGGCTATATTTTCAGCTTTTTCTGCAGCTAAGTAGGGCTGCGTGACTGGCTTCCGGCTAATGGGATGTGAGCAGAAACATCCCAGAGATGAGCAATTCACCAGCTTTCAATTGCACGCTGTTCTCAGCAGTGTGCTAAAATCTTGCGCCACCCTGCCCCGTTCCAACGCCTTTGTCCCACGTGTCCACATTGTACACCCTCCCCACCCTTAGTTACTTAGTGGCCTGCTCTGTTATCAGATTGACTATGAGTTATCACAGCACTTGGGTTCAAGTCACCTTGATTTTACTTAATAATTGTCCCAAAGGGCAAGAGTAGTGATGCCGGCAATTTGAATATGCCAAAGGGAAGTGGTTAAGTGCTTGTTTTAAGTGAAAGGGCGAGTAAGTATAGGAAAAAACATAGTATTTAGGATCGGCAGTTTTAGGCATCCACGGCACGGGGGTGGGGGGGTCTTGGAATGTATCTGCTGTGGGTAAGTGGGGGGGGGGCACTGTAATATGGTCCCTGTACTGAACTGAATTGGGTCTTGCCAAATTCCTATGTTGAAGACCCGACCCCTGGTACCTCAGAATGTGACTCTATTTGGTAATGGAACCAAAGGTGACTGGAACTAAAGGTGATGGAACCTTTAATGAAATCAGTTAAAATGATGCCATGAGGGTAGACACTAATACGATCCGACTGGTGCCATTACAGGACACACAGGAAGATCCCAGGGGAGGGCACACAGAGGGAAGAGCAGGGGAGGACACAGTGAGAAGGGGTTCATCTGTCAGCCAAAGAGGGAGGCCTTAAAGAAAACCAAACCTGCTGACACCTTGATCTTGGACTTCCAGCTTCCAAAACCATGAGAAATAAATTTCTGTTGTTTAAGCCACCTGGCCTGTTGTATTTTGTTGTGGCAGCCCGAGCAGACTACCTAACGGTCTGTAAAACTACCTTCTCAACAAGACGGCAGTTCCGGTTAGCTTCAGGGCTTTGTTTTTCTGGTCCAGGTGTGACAGTTCAAGTCCAGAACTGAATAACTCATAAAAACATAGCTGAGCCCTGGCTGGTGTGGCTCAGTGGACTGAGTGCTGGCCTGAGACCCAAAGGGTTGCCAGTTCGATTTCTGGTCAGAGCACACACCTGGGTTGCGGGCCAGGTCCCCAATAGGGGGTGTGTGAGAGGCAACCACACATTGATGTTTCTCTTCCTCTCTTTTTCCCTCCTTTCCCCCCTCTCTCTCTAAAGAAAAGCTGAGTTTGCAGGCTACCACCAGAGATCTCTGCCCTTCCCCACGTGATGATGAACAAATATTTAATGAATACCTGATGCAAAGTGTGGCAGATGGCAGAAAATGGCCACAGTGCTTTGCAAGCCCTCTTTTCAAGAGGTGAAGCCTATTTACCTCCTGTTGAAGCTGGACCAGCTATATAACTTATCTTGGCCAATAAAAGATGGTGGAATTGCCCTGGCTGGGTAGCTCAGTCAGTTATAGCATCCTCTCAATAAGGCAAGGTTGCAGGTTCAATCCCCAGTCAGGGCACACGCAGGGGTCAATGAATGAATGCACGAATGGTTGGAACAACAGATCTCTCTCTCTATCTCTCATCAATTAAAAAAAGAAAAAAGATGGTGGAAGTGATGGTATGCCGGTTTTGAGCCTGGGCCCCACGAGGCCTTGCAGCTTCTGCTCTTGTTCCTGTTCCATTGCTGAGAGAACAAGCCCAGGCTAGCCTGCTGGAGGGTGCGAGGCTCGGTGGCCCAATTACCTCCATTGCCCTCCAACCAGCCAGGCCACTGCCAGACATACCCAGAAGGAAGCCACCCTGGGTCAGTCAGTGCCCAAGCATCCCCTGCTAGCCTCAGACACATGAGTGAGATCAGAACTGTCCGCAGTAATCACGAGCTAAAGAAATGGTTGCTATCTTAAGTTTTTGGGAGAGGGTTTGTGAGAGAGCAATTGACTACTGGCACAGAATGGGTTCTAACGGGCGCAGCTGACTAAGACCCCCATCCGTCCCACCATGGGGCTCCACTCACCCTTGACATGTATCTGCTCTGTTACACTCCTGCGTCCCCTACTGGTTTCCAGCACCACTGTGTAGCTTCCTGAGTCTTGAGCTGTGACGTTTCTGACGACCAGGTTGCCTTGGGTGCCCAGCGTCTCCCGGCCAGTGTGGCCAGGCCCCGGGAGGCCCTCCGGGGAGAAGATCATGGCTTCCGGCCGGGCCTCGTGCCCCCGGAACCAAGAAGTAGAGAGGATGCCATCAAGGTTGCTGGGGACAGGAAGGTGAGCACTGGCCCCTTCGGTCACGAAGTTCAGAGGCGCAGAGGAGGGCAGTTCCGAGGAGGCAGAGCGGATGCAGGATGCGAGCAGGGCACCTGGAGGAAGTGGGAGGAGAGGTGAGAAAAGGGGGTGCAGGTGGGACCCAAGTCGCAGTGCTGCCCCAAGTAGCCCTTTCTGAGCTGGCGAGAATGTGGGTGGCATACTGAGAGCTGACGATGGAAACAGCGATCATGATAAAAATATTGTAGAGATAAAAGGGAACGTTCATGGAGTGCCTCCTATAAGCCAGATGGTGTTCTAAGCACGGAGCCTGTGATAGCTCACTTACTCCTTATACGTCAACCCCACAAAGCACGTATTACACTGGGAGGTCAGGTCCAACTTGCTAACCTCTGCTCTGCTGTGTGCCCTAAAAGGCTGACTTCTTTGAGCTCCATTGTTGGGGTCACCTCGCCTTTTGCTTCTGCCAGGGGGAGTGACCTTGCGGTTACTGGCCTCACAGCTCCCTCCCTGCTCCATCTGCGCAGGCTGACTGTGTCCCTCTGCTACAGCTCCTGTTGGGCGACCATCTCCATATATCACTCTCTTTTGGTTTGGGAGTCCACTCTCCCCCTTATGGCTTCTAGCCCAGGGGAGGTAGCAGCCTCCCACTGCTGCTCGCCCCTGGGCACTGCTACTGTCCTGTGTCGCTTTATCTGTACACTGCCTGCACCTCCGCAAATGATCCCTTTAGCAAACCCTCCTCATTGCTCCTTTTTATTTTTATCCTCACCCGAGCACATTTTTTCATTGCTTTTAAGAGAGAGACACAGAGAGAGAGAGAGAGAGAGAAACATTGACTGGCTGTCTTCTTGTATGTGCCCCAACCAGGGATTGAACCCTCAACTTGGGTATATGCCCAGACTGGGAATCGAATCTGCGACCTTTTGGTGTACAGGACGCTGCTCCAACCAACTGAGCCACATTGGCCAGGGCTCATTAGTCCTTTTGAGTTGACTTTCTTTTTCTTGCCCAACCCTTATCAATACAGCTGTTAGAGATGAGGAAACAAAGATTCAGGGAATTTAAGACATTTTCCTAGGATGTCACAAGTGGTAAGCTGCACCTAGTAGGAGTTGAAATTCTCAACCACTGAACTATATTGTCCCGTGTGTGCCCTGCCTCTAGTGTCTTCCACTTCCTCTCAGTAAATTTCTGTACTGCTTACAGCTTGGAGCAGAGCAGCGGGCTCCAGTCCCTACGCACTCACCCTGCCTCTTGCTGGAACGGGGACTGTCGCAGTAAGAACACGAGCACCAGCCATAAAAGACTGAAAATTTGATATACAAATAAAAAGAAACTCCTGCAAAGGTTAAAAAGAAACCAACCACCACCCACAAAGTCAAAAGAACAATGACGTACCAGGAAAAATTTGCAACAGTTATCACAGACATAGAGCTCATTTTACTACTATATAAACAGCTTCCAGATATCAATAAGAAAAATATCAACAACGTACCAGAAAAGTACACAAAAGACATGCATAGGTGGTTCCTAGAAAGAAAATTCAAATGTCTCTTGACACCCAGAGGATGTTCAGCTGTGCTCACAGCAAGAAAAATGGAAATGAAAACAAACCGAGATGATACTTTGCACCTAGCACATTGGCAAAGGTCCAAAAGTGTGATGTTGTGTTGGCGAAGCCAAGGACCAGGAAAGTCTCACACACACAGGAACAACTGCAGGCAAACCCAAGGCTGGCAAGGTCTTTCAAGACTTCTAGTTCCTCCATCTAATGCCTGTAAAGCACTCAGAACACTGCGCTAACAGGGCTCCTGCCGGACAGACACTTGACATTATAATCACAATGGCAACTACTGGGTGTGTTGTAAATATGCCTTTTAAAGGTTTTTTTTTAAAAAACCCATAAAATAAGTGGGATTTTAATATTAAAGATTAGAAAAACCCGCTTATAGAACAAATGTTAAAATAGCCGGTCTCTCTCTCTCTCTTTTTAAATCCTCATCCAAGGATGTGTTTTACTGATTTTAGCGAGAGAGGAAGGGCGGAAAACAGAGAGGGAGAGAAACATCAATGTGAGACAGAAACATCAACCAGCTGCCTCCTGCACGATCCCTGACTGGGGATCAAACCCACCACATAGGTATGTGCTGGGACCAGGGATCAAACCCACAACCTTTTGGTGCACAGGACGACACTCTAATCAACTGAGCACCCAGGCAGGGCCATCAGCGCTCTTCTTGGTAAATGAGTGAGAAATTCTGGCTGTGGAGAAGTGCTCCCAGGGCGGCGGCAGCATCAGGTATACACGTGCCGCGCTCTGGTTGTGCCGGTGTGAGAGCCTCAGGAGGCAGCTCCGGGTGACCCGCTGACACGGCGTGCTCGCTGAGAGCCAGGGACTGTGCCAGATTCTCCCATCTAAGACCTCACTGATCCCCTCAACAACAGAGGTGGGTTCTGGTCTGTTTAACAGGCAGGGAAACTGAGGCCATAAGTGGAGAGCTGGGAGTTGTTTCACCATAGGGTTTGCAGGGGGGCTCTCACTTCCTACCTTCATTGAATTTACCTCTGAGTGGGCAGCTGGTGTGACCTATCTCTTCCCCTGCTCATAAACCTTCCATGGCTCCCTAGGGCCCTCAGGACACAGTGCAAACTCTTTCGCCCAGCACCCCTGCGACACCTCCGCGCGCTCCTCCCCATTCTTCCCTCACCGTCTGCCCAGCCAGACTGAACTCTGCGCAGTGCTCTGGCCTCCAGGCCTTTGCCCATGCTGTTCCCCCTACCTAGAAAGCTGTTCCCCCCCTCTCTCTTTCTTGCTGTGATTCGAGCAGCTCAGGCATCCCCATTTCCTGAAGTCCTCCCTGACCCTCCCGTGTGCTTGGTAATAGATGTTAATCTGCTTGGGCAGGGAGCTCAGCTGACTTGATGGGTTGATGGGAGCTCTTGCCCCAACTGTGACAGAAGAAAGTCTTCTACCCAAGTACCTGCTCAAGGTTTTGCCTTCCTGTCTTGAAAAAAATTTGCATTCTGAGGTTTTCACAATACAAGGAGCACAGGGATACCATTTGCATAACTGATGCCACACCTATCTGAGGCCGTATTTTGATCTGGACGGCTTTGAAAGGCACCCTCCCCCACCTTCCCAGCCGCAGACTGTAGCCCTCTGGGTCCCCGCTCCCCACACCGTTCCTGCTCCACCCGCTGTGTGTGCAGTCACTCCCTGGGACAGTGTGTTTCCTTCTGCCCTGGGAGCCCCCGGAGGGCAGGGCAGGGGCTGTTGGGTTCACTGTGGTGTCCCCAGCACCGCCCAGCACAGGCTGGGCAGGGAACAGTTGAATAAGTGACCAGAGGGGCAGACTTAGGTCATGCAGCGCACATGCTGGAATCCAGTTCTGAATGTGACAGAGTGGCAGGTACCTGGTGAGTCGGGGAGCGTGCCCAAGGCATCCTCCCCAGGGGAGGACCTGACACCTTAGCAGCCCTCAGTCCAGCTGATGCAGAACCACGGTTTCACTTGTAGACCCCGAGGCCACTGGGCCTGGGTTTACAGCTCTGACTCTGCCATGCGTTATTTCTGGGCTCTGAGCCTCCGCGTCCCCACTGATCAAGGAGAGCGGTTGAGCGTAACCCCAGGGGTGCCTCAGATTCAATGAGATCGTGAATTTGCAGGGCTGAGGACAGTCTAACTTTGGTATTTTATCTAGAAATTAAGTTATATCAATAAACACAATATTAATACATTTATTAAATATGGTTATATATTAATTACATAAAATATAATGTATAGAATTATACATAACTATGTGTATAATTATATATTTATATATTATATCAAGTTTATAATTTAATAATATATAAGTGTAAACATGGATTAGATTAATACATATAAAATATGTTTTAGCCCTGGCTGGTGTGGCTCAGTGGATTGAGCACCGGCCTAAGAACCGAAGGGTCTCCGGTTCGATTCCCAGTCAGGGCACGTGCCTGGGTTGCGGGCCAGGTCCCCAGCAGGGGGTACATGAGATGCAACCACACATTGATGTTTCTCTCCCTCTCTTTCTCTCTCTTTAACCCTCTCTAAAAACAAATAAAGAAAATCTTTAAAATATATATATATTTTATATATATTTCAAATGTATGTCTATGCGGGGTGGGGGCAAAAGGTTTACATTGTAAGTACACGAAACACAGAGTTCATTCCTGTATTATTATTTATTAATTATTGTATTATTTTCCATACAAACAACTGTAAACCTACTTTTGTCCCACCCTATATATTATATATATATATAAACAAATAAGTAAATATGCATTTTTAGGCATGCCAGATGAAGGCTGGCATTTCAGAGCTGGAGCCATAGAGTTGATTCCAGAACTCTTACTTGACAGGACCATAGTTCTTTTACTTAATCTTTAACCTTTAATCAAATGAGAAAAAGTCTCTATTCAGTCTCCCCCAGTTGGAGGTCGGGACGCTCCCTGACTCGCAGGACACAGCACAGGGAACAGTCATGCTGTAACAACTATGTATGGGACTGTATTCCAGGTTGGGACTGGAAATCCTGGGGACCACTTAGTCAAGTAGGACTGTCTAACCACTATGCTGTACACCCGAAACGAAGACATTGAAAAACAAAGGGCCCATGGAGAGGAAGAGGGGGCGCAGCGCGAGGCCTCCCGGGGGTGGGGGGCGCGCTGAGAACGAACCAGAGGCCCTGCGGAGGCGGCTCGGGGGCTGGAGGCCGTCTTTTCTCCTCCCCAGGTCAAGCGAGGGCGGCTCCAAGGGAACCTCTGAGACAGGGAAGTGTCCCCTCTAAGTCTGCGGCGAGGAACGGCGAGGAAGAGGCCTGTGCCCGGGAGGACATAGACAAGCAAGGCGGGCGCGTGGGGGGGCGCACGCAGCCCCCGCCTCCCACCTTCGAGAGAACGGAGACCTCCGTGCGTTTCCCAGGAGCCAGGTGGAGGCTGTCCTGGCAAAGACCCCCGTGGGACGCGGCTCGCTGACGTGTGACCTCCTCAGAAAGAGGCTGGAGGGGGCCAGGAGAGAGCAGCGAGCCTCCAGCGAGCCACTTCATACAGGCCTTAGGAACACACTGCCTGGTGCAGTGTCCCCAAGGTCCCCGCCCCCCAACCAGAGAGAGATTCAGCAACAGAGTGCTTCGGCCCACCTGACAACTGTGGCTGCCGAGCGAGCGGAGCCTCCCCTGCACCCTTCCTTGCCTTCCTCGCCTTCCTCCCCTTTGCCTACCGCCCTGGGGGCCACAGACTCCAGCTCTGGGTGGGAGAAAGGACGCAGAGAGAGAGAGAGAGACACGAGGCCCACCGAGCCCTATCACGTCCTCACGGCAACCCGACGCAGGGTGGGCACAAGGACACGCTCTGCGCTGGGGGAAGTTCGGGGTTTTGAAATTAGACAGAGCTCGACTTTTTAAAGACCTGTGAAAGGAAGCAGATGAGTTATTATCTGAGAGGTGGATGTGTGCCGCCTCTGGAAGGTGTGATCACCATAGCCAGGCTGCCTGGGTTCAAACCCTCCTCCTGCCACACCAAGCTGTGCGGCCCGGGAGGGCACGCGACCTCTCTGGACTGCCGTTTCCTCCTCTAGGATGTGGGGGATCATATAGCCCTCGCCTCGTGGAGTTAAGAATTAAATGTTGCTGTGTGAAAGCACTTTGAACAGGCTGGCACGCAGAAATAGTCGCAATGACCTCTTTATATTAGAACCGTTGTTATTTCATTATTGTTACTATCGCTATTTTAAAATTATGATTAGATGTGGATAGCTGGGCACAACTGGCTGTGCTTGTGGAAGGGCGTTGGGGCGGGGTCCTGAATTCTGGTTCTGTCCTTGCCAGCGCTGCGACCTTGGGCAGGTGGCCCTGGCCCTACCTGAGCCTGCTGTCCCTCCTGTATAAGAGGGGCCAGCAGCGCGGGTGCCTGTGCGGCCTGGGCTCCACGGTGACCGGAGTAGGAGCTCTGGGTGGAGCGACTCTAACTTAGAGAGAGACCCTCCCAGGCGTATCCTGTCCTTGTCCCGCACCCGTGGGTGGAAGCACTCTCTTTCACGCACCTGTTAGCAGCAGCCTCTTCCACGCAGGGCTGTGGACGGAGCTAGCATTCAGAAGACACCTCATGTTGCGTTCTGTTCAGGGGCCGCAGGGGGAGGCCACCCTGTCAGGAGTGGGGTTACCCCAGGTAGCACCGTCAAGAACTCAGCCTTGGCCCCGCCCCTGCCCTGGACACTCCCCCCAGCCCGCCCACCCCGGCCCCAGCCTTCGCTGGGAAGCCGCCTGCAGGCCTGCACTCTGCTTCAGCAGGGGGTTGGTGGTAGTGGTGGGTGGGGAGCAGGCTCGGGGGCAGGGTTCCTGAGGAGGGGACTCTGGGGTTTTGCTTCCCTCCCTCTCCCAGGCAGGCTGGGGGAATGATAAAGGTGGGGCAGATAAAGATTGTCGGTTCAATCAGAGGTGAGGAATGGCCAAAGGTCCTCAGGTAGGAGGCGGAGCGGCCTCGTGCTGGCCTCCTGGCTTTGCTGCGGACTGACTCATCTTGGCTGGGAGCCCGTTTTCCTCCTCTGTAAGATGGGCATGCTGACATCAGTGCCCGCCCCAGAGCCCGGCGTACTCGGCAGAGGGCCTGGCAGATAGGAGGCGCTCTGTGAATGGAGGCAGTTATTAAAATAACGCTAGTTATTATCGCTGGTCTCCGGTATGTTCCGGAGGCATGTTCAGAAGCCCTATTTCAGGGCCTTGCTCATACTATATCTTTAAAACATTTTCTAAAATTGTACTTATTTTTAGAGAGAGGGGAAGGGAGGGAGAAAGAGAGAAAGAGAAACATCGATGTGTGAGAGAAACATCGATTGGTTGCCTCTTTCACACCCCCAGCTGGGGGTCTGGCCCACAGCCAGAGCATGTGCCCTGACTGGGAATTGAACTGTGACCTTTCTGTTCACAGGCCGAGGCTCAGTCCACTGAGCCACACCAGCCAGGACTCATACTATATCTTGCATTTTGGATTCGGGAAGGATAAGCCACAAAGTTCTTTTCTCTCATCCTTTCATCCTCCAAGCCCCTTCTTTCTTCCTCACAGTAACCATTGTATTGCTCAAACGAATAGCTGGTGCTTAGTGAACACCTACCTAGGCCAGGCACAGCACTAACCCTTCAACAGCCGTCTAACGGACTCCTCATAGCAACCTTGAGGGGCTGGTATGGTCATCCTCATTTTCCAGTGGTGCGTAGATGAGTGACTCACCTAACGTCACACAGGCATTCACAGTGCCTTTTGTCAGTTCTTGGAGGAAGCTACCTCAGGGCCTTAGCCCTTGCTGCTCCCTCTTCTTACAGCCTCACACAGATCATCTCATGGCTGACTGCACCTCATTACCCCAGTCTCAAATCAAGCATTACCTTCTCAAAAAGGCCTTCCCTAAGGCTGACTGCAAGTCAGGGCCCGAGCTGCTCGCTTCAGTATATACTGTCAAATTCTCTTTACAATATTTACTCCTATCTGGAATTCTTTCTTTCTTTGTCCACTTTTTATTACCTTTCGCCCCTCCCCTATGGCCACCTCCCTGTGTCACCAGGGTCTAGAACAGTAAGTACCTGGCTCAGTATATACTTTTCCAGTGAATGAATGAGTGAGCGAGATTAACGAGAGTACTGAGAATTAAATGCAGCTCTGACTCAGAACCTCAGGCCTTTCCTTTCCAGAGAGATTCCAGGCTCCACCTGGGGTGAAGTTTCACCCATGAGTCTCTAAAAATACTCCTCATCGAGAGACTTGGTTATGTCTTTATTGGCACCAGCAGTACTGCCTCTTTTATGATTTTGCCTCCGTCAGGCCAGGTGACCATTGATGATGGGTGATGAGCAAACATTTGCAACACAATAACCATCGTGTGGATGAGGACCCTGTGGTTTCTGTTCATCCAGCATTCATTCTCCTTTATCTAGCTAATAGCCCCTCAAGGTTCCAGGGAAGTGAGGGGTGCAGGCCTGGCCAATCAGAGCACTTCATCCTCCAACAGCCGTGATTGGGTGAGGGCTAGCCATGGGACCCAAGTCTGGCCAATCAGAGCACTTCAACACTTTGCTTCAGTGATTGCTTGAAAGCTGGGCACACCACCCAAAGCAGGCCAAAGAAGAGCAGTCCGAGGGCTTTTATTAGAATCCTGGGGAATAAAGCATTTCCTTTCTGCTGGGTTTGCTAAACTGAAGGGATTTAAGTGTGGAGCTGCCGAGGGCCCTCTTTCTACCACGAGTAGGGAGGTTGCCTGAGAATGAGGCCAACACATAGGAAAAGTAACCAGTAGATGGACAGAGATTTCTGATGATGTAATATAAACACCTAGATCCAGCTGTGCCTGAAGTTGGGAAAAATCCTGCAGATTTTGTGTTATGTGAGTCTACATATTCCCATTTGATTTTCTCAGAACAGTTTATTTGGAATTCAGTTACTTGCCTCCAAAATAACTTTGGTTGAAAGGAAGATGAAAAAGTTTCGAGAGTATATGACTTGAGATCTCACCAAGACTGAAGATGGGTAAGGGAGCCCCCTGGGGAGGAGATGCTTCAACTGACCCTGGGGGACGGGGGGGGGGGGGGGGGACTTGGCAGGTTTGTGATTCCAAACCTCAGTCTTTCTCATGTCGCACCGTAATTCCTTCTGTATGCACGTACCACCTATGCTCTCATTTATTTACTTAATAGTTTTCTTTCAAATGACTCATCTAAAATGAGCTCAACACAGTTTTTAAACAATGACATCTGCAAAATTATATGTTAATATGCTAATTATATTAATGCGGATGAAAGAACTATAATAATAAAAATAAAACATCAGTCCACATAATGTTTCAAAAGTTTTTGGTGTGTCACTAAAATAACACGAGCCTCAATCAATGTGAAGATACCTAACACTACTGAACTATACCTTAAAAATGGTTACAATGGTAAATTTTAGCCCTGGCTGTTGTGGCTCAGTTGGTTGGAGTGTCATTCAGTAAACCAAAAGGTTGTGGATTCAGTTCCCAGTCAGGGCACATGCCGGGGTTGTGAGTTTGATCCCGTCAGGGCACATATAGGAGGGATCCAGCTGATGTTTCTCTCTCATATTCATGTCCGCCGCTCCCCCCCCCCCCCCGCCCCTTCCTCTCTCTCTGGAATCGAGGAATATATCCTTGGGTGAGGATTAAAAAAAAGATGGTAAGTTTTTGTATTTTTAAACCACAATTGACATTTTTAAAAATTATTTAAAAAAAGAGAGAGAAGACGACCAGAAGCAATCACATACATAGCCTGCTTTTACAGTCCAACTAAGGTAGAACAAAGTTGAAAGAAACTCTTGCTTATACTCCAAGAAAGAACTAACTTACATTTGCAGAAATCATAACAAACCTTCATCAAGTCTGTAGGTAACTTGGGGAAGGGATTGACGACTCAAGTAGGAACAAAGAATGCAAAGGGCAGACGTAAAATTTAATGTCACCTTTTTAAAAATGTTTGTATTTATTGATTTGAGAGAGAGAGATTTGTTGTTCCACTTATTTATGCATTCATTGGTTGCTTCTTGCATGTGCTCTGACCTGAGACTGAACTTGCAACCTTAGCGTATTCAAACAATGCTCTGACCAACTGAGCTACCTGGCCTGGGCCTAATCAGTCACTTCTCTTTCATTAAGGTCAGGTAGCTTAACCAACTTTTTGTTTGTTTATTTAACCTCGCCGCTGATGTCATATGGATGTTATGTAGTCCCCAATATGTGATTAGAAGAGCAGTTCCCCGCTATGGTATTTTTCCCCCAAAACGGAAAACCTCAGTCTAAATAGGAGAAAAACTCCAACAAACCCCAACTGGGGCACATTCTACAAAATATCTGACCAGTATGCTTCAAAACTGTCACGGCCATGAAAACCAAGAAAAGACTGAAAAACTGTCCCAAAGGAGCCTTAGGAGGTGTGACAACTAAATGTGATGTGGTATCTGGATTGGATCCTGGAACAGAAGAAGGACCTTAGTGGAACAATTGGTGAAATTTGAATAAAGGCTAGGGTTTAGTTTAAAAAACAACTACAACAACAAAAATGTGAGTTGTACTTGGAGGAAGTATGGTGACAATTGCTAATATTTACAGAGAACTTCACTCTGAGGGGGCCGCTGCTCTAAATACTTGACGTATGTTAACTCTTTTAGCCCTTTGGCAGCCCTGGGAGGCAGCTGGTGCGTGGCTGGGCAGACCCAGGCGTCTAGTGCTGGCGTCTGCGATCTTAAGCATTACATGAGCATACGACAATCTTTTCAAGTCGTTAAGACCTTTTAACATTCCTAGGTGGTATATATTATTGCTTGCATTTTTTCACATGAGAAAACAGAGACACATGGATGGGGTTAAATTAAAAACAAAGAAAACAGCCCTGGCTGGTGTGGCTCAGTGGACTGAGTGCCAGCCTGTGACCCAAAGGGTTGCGAGTTCAATTCCCAGTCAGGGCACATGCTTGGGTTTCAGGCCAGGTTCCCAGGGAGGAGTGTGGGAGGCAACAACACATTGATGTTTCTCTCCCTCTTTTTCTCCCTCCCTTCCCCTCTCTAAAAATGAATAAATAAAATCTTTAAAAACAAAACAAAGAAAATACACACATAAGTCACTCTTACCCCAATCCAGCCTCATTTCCTTCTTTTAGTTTTCAGACAATGAATTTCCTGAGGCCCAAGTTCCATCCTGTTTTCCTGGCTCTGCGAGTCCTTGCCACAACACTCTTTTCTCCTGTGGGGCCTGTGTGTGTGTGTGTGTGTGTGTGTAGGGCGATAGTGTGTTAGACGGGAGCAGTAAAGCACCGTCTCATTGATACAGGTATCAGGACAAATAGCCAGCTCTGGACAAAGCTGACTATAAAAGAAGCAGCCTGAAGGCCAAAAGGACCTTCTGTCCCCCGAGGGGCTGAGTTTGGATGGGGGAAGACTTAATCCACGCATCGCATTCATCCATGAGAGGAATCCCCAGCCCCTTCCAGGAGGATCTGGGGGAGAAAACCAAGCCTGTGTGGCTCAGACCCTTTCCCTGTTTTGGGTTCTGCTTCTCTCCAGAAGGAGTACATTTTGATCTGTCCCCTCCTGCCATGTGACCAAGGGCCTATTGGAGGTAAGTTTATATGGGAGAGAAACTAT